TGAAGCAAACCATCTTGCTGACGGGTCCAGTGTTCCTCTTACGACGTGACGGTGGCCCAGGTACTACCAATGAGACTTTTGGACTCGTAGAGTCCTAGTCAGACAAGGAGATTTGTCCTCAAGTGACAACCTTGGTCACAATTGTGCGACCAAGAAGTCCACTGAGTCCACACCATTTTTAAGATTTCTCTAAATGGACGACGATCGTGCGAGCGATAGCACATCTAATGCATATTGCAGACTGCTTCCATCACCCGATGAGAGGCACCACTTGTAGCTGCAATGGGTGGCATCACTGCACAGTGCCACGCACTGAAGATGAACTTTTCAGAGCAAGGAAATGAATATTCTGCTGTGTGCAACAGGCAACTTATGCAAGTGAGATCAAGTCCATCAGCAAGGGAGAAGACCTTCCTCGGGTCAGCACCCTCAGGAAGTTAAACCCCAGGATGGACAAAGACGGCTTGCTCAGGATCGGTGGTCGGCTAGGGAATGCAAAATTAGATGAGAATGAACGAAACCCCCTCAATCCCAAGCCAGAGCCACATCTCAATTTTACTTGTGCAATACTACCACGAGAAGGTCAAGCACCAAAGTCGGCACTTCACAGAAGGAGCAATCCGATCTGCAGGGTTGTGGATCGTTGGAGCAAAGAGGTGCATCACCAGCACAATCCACAAGTGTATTAGGTGTTGCAAGCTACGTGGAAAACAGGAAGAACAGAAAATGGCAGACCTCCCAGCCGATCGACTAAGTATGGAACTTCCTTTCACCTCTGTAGTGATCGACGTGTTCGGACCGTGGACAGTCATCTCCCGTCGCACCAGAAAAGGGCTTGTGAACAGCAAACGTTTGGCAGTGCTGATCACCTGTATGAGTACACGAGCAGTGCACATCGAAGTAATCAAATCCATGGACTCTTCGAGTTTTATAAATGCACTCCGGAGGTTCTTCGCCATCAGAGGGCCAGCCAAGCAACTCCATTCTGATTGTGGAACCAATTTCACTGGAGCATGTAAAGAGCTTAAGATCTATACGGAAAATGTTGAAGATCATTCTTTAGGGAAATTCCTTAGTGACCAAGGCTGCACATGGATCTTCAACCCTCCTCACTCTTCGCATATGGGTGGAGTCTGGGAACGCATGATCGAGATTGCTCGACACATTCTCGACTCCATGCTGTGTGATGTCAGGTCCACACAGCTCTCTCGCAAGGTCTTGACCACTCTCATGGCCGAGGTCTCAGCTATAATTAACTCAAGACCCCTGATCCCCATCTCAACCGACCCAGAGTCACCATTCATATTGACTCCTGCTCCACTTCTTACCCAGAAGACAGATGTGCTCACAGCACCCACTGAGGAGGTCAGCACTGCAGACCTCTACAGACGTCAATGGAGGCAAGTGCAGAGCTTCGTTAACACGTTCTGGCGTCGCTGGAAAAACGAGTACCTTACGACACTCCAAGTGCGCAGCAAGTGGCAGTCTAACAGACCAGACATCCGAGAAGATGACCTCGTCCTACTGAAGGACAACCAAGTCAAATGGAATGAGTGGCCAATGGGCCTTATCCTCAAGACTATTCCTAGTGCCGATGGAAAAGTTCGAAAGGTCGAGGTTATAATTGCGAAGCAAGGTGTCGTTAGGACTTTCGTCAGGCCCATAGTTGAGACAGTACTGCTTTTCTCTCGCAAATATATGGACAAATAAGTTGACCCATTGAACTTTGTTATACATTTGTTTATGAGATAGAAAATAAATGGTGGTATCTCCTAGATACTAGACGGGGAGTGTTCTGCCTCACGGCAGGTGTGGGGGTGTGTGTACACAGGAATTTCCTGTTTGGAGGTTGAGTTTGGTCACATGACCAGGAAGTTACGATTTAAGATTCCCTCTCAGCCACGCGGCAGGGTGTCAGCCATTACACAGAGTACAAAATGTGGCACAAAGAGCATCCCCGTGAAGACATATGCAACTGTTCATTGTGGGACTTTAAGAAGCATTGTCTGTAAGGTCGTTTATGTTCTTATGATACTGGGAATGCTGTTATAATTTTATAACAAGCCTTATAATGCTGTAAATGCCTTTATAATGCTGTTAAATTGTTATGATAAATATGCGGCCTAGTTAACAACGAAACCTGCCACTTGCCTTAATGTGAGTGTTACTTGTAATTGAAAAAGTCGAGTCAGACTCGTACCCATGTAACCTTATTGCGATCATGAGAGCAAGGATGACGAAATATCTCATCCACAGTTCAGTGATATATGTGGTGCTGTAAATTTAGGCTACAGTATGGCGATTACACGATGTGCCCTTAACACAGTAGCTAATTCTCTTGTATAGCTATTCAGTACTAATGTAGGTGCCTGGTCCATCCAGAATCTAGTGTTGAGTTTCATGTTATCAAAGACAATGTTAAGATGCTCTAGTGTCCATTCATTGTATTGATATCTCCAAGCATTAACAGATGCTGTATTTGTGCTGTGTTTTTCCCATCAGTTTTACCTCGTTCAATTAATTAAATATGTTTGGAGTCAGATGTTCACCCTGGCTCTGAAAGTTAATTGAATGCGAGGTTATCTACTCAGATAGTGGTGCAACGCAGCGCACAGCGAGGCCGAGACAAAGGGTGCCACGAAATGTGTGACATGGGAGATATTCATATTAAGTAATGCTGATTGTTGGAAATTACACAGTCCTATGATGGAGACCCACAGTATGACCACTGTTGACTGTATGCAAAGTTATGTTCAGAAACATTAAATCTTTATTTTGACTGGAGAAATCTGATGAGCAGTGAAGCTCTTTTTAATGTTTATCAGTCATTGACATATGAGAACAAGATAGAAAAATGTTGAGCAAGTTACTCTTAAATACAAATAACGTATCGAAGTACAAATTAACACAGATACATATGTAGAGTAGTGGTCGGTGACGTTACGTCACGCTCACCTTCCTTCTGCAATGACGTCACAGGAAGTGACGTCAGGCGGATCTTCCGGTATGATGACGTCATGGGAAGCGATGTCATACACAGGGGGCTGGGCGGTGATATGTCCCCCTGGGGTTCTTAAGCTGGAACCCGTGACATGAGCGGGATCGTCGTGAGAGCCGGAAATGGGAGTGGGTGGAAGTCGGGACCCAGGGTAGGGTAGGCTAGCAAGAGGCTAGAGTGGCTGCTTCACCCGGCCGGCCGATGTTGGTTTTTCCCTCGGCCGGTGCAGTGGGAAGAGCCCGGGTAGTGTGTGTGTGTTAGGGACTCCCAGTACCCTATCCCTGGGGAGATATATATTAGCCCATGCCAACATAGGCGTAAGCCCCTAAATAACCCCAGGCGTAAGCCCCTAATAAACCCTGGCGTAAGCCCCTAAGAAGATCTGCCTCCAAGTCGTCATTTGCACCATCACACATACATTACATTCCTGCAGGTTTCTCAAGACCAAATGCAAGCTTGGACTCTACCCGGCCAAACTCCACTCATTAAACTGGAGGGGGAATTGACAAAACGTGGACACTGTGGGTTCTAATTCCGTTTTTTTTTATAGATGACGTAAGTATATAAATGTGTCGTTAAACTCGCCACCACCCGACAGCCAGTTAGTAAGGGTTGTCCTGTAAACAGAACAAGCCAATGCATCACTGGTACAGCACACCGGTGTGTTGGAGAGCCAAGCCACTGCATTAACAAACTGACTACGACGTTTCGCCAGTAATTACAACTAGCTTCATCAGGCGACAGCCAGGTTTGTGTAGAAGTCCACCTTTTTAACGACAGATTTATATATCTACGCGATCCAACCCAAAAACCTGTATTATGGATGCTATTGGTCGCGAAATCCTACGTGTTAAACTGACTCTGGGCTCTACCGCCGTCTCCTGGCCAGTCGGGGTATGGCACCTCGACGCACATTGGAAGGATGTTTCGCAACATTTGCGTGGGCCACCAATCCTAAATAAATGTCAGCAAGTACGTGATGCATTGTTATAATCTTGTTTGAATGGTCAGTAATGAGTGGTGAGTGACGAGGATTAGGTGAGTCATACGTGTTCAGTCGTGTTTGGTGAGTGGAAGTTGGAAGTGGAAGGAAGCAGCCTTCACGTTGCCCACTCTGTTAAGTGAGAAATAACAACGAATGCCATCAACGTGGCGACCGAACGAGTTATCAGCCTCCAGCGCAACGACACAAGCCACGCCAACGGCCCCGTTCATGGCCAAACAACGTGCATAGATAGGCCCTGAGACAGGTACCCTCCAACTGTACATTGAGGGAAGTGCGAGTATCTCGCGAACACAATGAACAAACATATTGATGTCCTGACGCTGCAAGAAACCCATGTCTTCGCTGCCCTACATATATCACCACGAATAAGTAGTGAGTGGGAGTGATAGCACAGTGGTTAGTGTAGTGCACTCTGTATGTATGTTTAACTTATTTCGTACCGTACGTAGCCAACAGAGCTAATCAAAGGTGCTCTGTATCCGGCGAAGCTAGTTCTATTCCCGCTCACGACCAATATCAGTGGCGAATACCTGAACCGGCCCAGGATCGCGCATAGGTCGACCGTGCCTCAATTGATTACCTACTTCTTTGTGGAAACATTGTCACTAGCGAGACAAAGGCAGTCAGGCATGTTACTGGCCCTATCAACCCCTCGAGTGCCTTCAGAGGTGCATGCTTAAAGCACTTGCCCCAACAGACTAAGGCTACATGGGCGATCTTTGGTCAGTGGTGAGTCTAGTGAATGTAGGTTTTGGGTGATTGGAAGTTGAGTGATGAGTGCTGAGTAACGAGTGTTTGGTGGTGTCAGATGTGAGATGATTAGCACAGTTCGCTATGTATGGTGTTCGAAATAGGTTCAACATACATACATCCATATATAATAAGTTCAACATACGTAAATGCAATACGTCAAGCAAGTTGTGAGTGCCTGTATGTTATGACAGCCAGGTGAATGGTGTGTGGTAAATGTACCAGGCAATGAAACAAATCAGATACTTTATTTTGTACTTCAAATGTTTATTTTACACCAACCCAAACATTCACCAATAACATTATCAATCCACAGTACAGTACTGTTAATTCATAAACCACATCGGACACATTAAGCATTATGAAACGAGTCTTCATCACCCTGCATTAACCTGCTTCCCACAATACACCACGATACTGCGTGACCCAAACACTACTAAATTATAATGGACGGAATTGCACAAATGCTACATTGGCCTGACCAATATTAAAGTAATATAATGGCCTGTACAATGCTAAACTGTACACGTGTAACAGTGACATTATTTCGGTAGTCCAAAGATGCATGCCTTTAAAGGTCGTCCCATGAGCTTGTTTTTCCAATCATTGCTCGTAGAACAGATGAGTAGAATTACCTGGATGAATTGTCACCAAAATGTCAGTACCTGAATAGATAGTTCAGAGGTAGCTTTGATCTGCAGGATCAGTCTCAAATGATTGTGTTTAATCCTCCCCCACTGTCCAATCGCTTTGCCCTACTGTACAGTCTTAGCCATCACCTACAATGATGGCCAGATTTTACAGATGTCAGCCATGTCTCCGTTATGCTGAAATATCCGACTTAAAACCATCACATGTTTGTAGGTATAACATCTTAACATACATTGCTGTTGTTATATTAGTGTCATTTGTATTTCAGAAAACAAATATATATTTTTATTTTTTTGATAAAAAGTACAATTCATAGCGTACTATATGTCCATTTTTATAGGAGAGTGATGCTTTGAATATGGCGTGGAGGCTAACACGTTTTTAAAAATAAACTCCACCAGCAAATTGAGCTCTGTTTCTGGATCCTCTTTGTAATGCCACGCAACCAGATTATGCATGAGTCGGGAGACTGAACACAACGCAGAACATCACACGGCCCCAGGTAATATCTGCCTGGTGGAGCATTAGCAGATCCGGTACACTTGAGATCACATTACAGTATTTGGAAATCGAGTCAATAATTTGCTAATTATGGATTTGTAATCAGTCGTACCATACTATATATGCAATATTGTTTAACATTGTCTTCACAAAGGTAGAAAAAATGTAAACTTACTATGAAAATAGCGGTTCATTATGGAACTTTACTTTAAAAAGATGTTTTTAAATTGTATAGCACTGGCAGTACAGTATGCATGTTGGTATGACAAAAATGTATTTTTTGTCAAATTAGAAAGCTCATTGTTTCACATGTGATCTAAATGCCAAGTTGTTATAGTGTCATTAACACTGGTAATATGTCTGCCATGGCCACACAAACTCACTGCATCAAACCACCCATCCTATGCTCACATGTCCAGTACCACATTAAAAAAGGCAATACCCGTAACAATAAACTGTAATTCTAGTATTAGCGGTAGCATTGATGTAAAGAGCATGATGCTTTAAGCCTGCGGCTTCTTGAATGCGGCAATTGTGGCATTAACTCCGCTGTTGACGCTCTGCTCTCCCTCGGCGATCTTCGGAGCTTCACGGTACACGCTCATGACCTGCGGGAGAAATCGGGAATGGGTGGTGTTTGAACGTCAGTACCTATAGATAAACGAACATGATAGCAATCATACATGGCTGATACCAGCCACACCGATGACTCATGCAAATCCCACCTTTGCATTGTGATCAATAAATAAAAAGGACATCACACCTTTCCATCACTTATGCTAGTGCACAGTCAAAACTTGAGCGCCAAGGTTGACGAGTCTTATCACCATCTTGTGGTTTTCACATTAGGTTTCTGACCACTGAATTCCACTTTCAACGCCTGCCTTGATAACATGTCCATTTCAATCCTCCACATATGCCCCATCCATTAAACGTTTCCCTGATTATTTTACAAGGTTCAAGGTTAAGTGACATCTACATAGATCTTTACGACAATATCAACATTGACAATGATAATGACATACGAGCAATAACAATAATCACACTGACAGTGACGTGTTATTGAAAATGCTTTTTACTGTACCATTTGTATGATAATGACAATGACATTGCTACAGTAAGAGCATCAATATTGACATTGACAGCAAGATCATGGTACGAACGTTGACATTGACAGCGTTGGCACTCACGTTGCTGATCCAGCTGTTGTAGGCTGATACGCGGGTGAACACAGTGGGCTTGCGGACTGTGTTGCAGCCCAGAGATGAGACGTAGCTGGTGATTCCCTGCACCACCCAGGCATTGTCTGACTGCTGGCAGTTCAGTGGACCACCTCCATCACCCTGTGATGCATAGAAGAGGATACACATGCATCCACGTTAACTAGGTAAAGCATAAACGGGATATGGTGGTGGGTGCTGGTAAGGGTAAGTACAGGAGCTTGCAAGTACAGGAAATTGGAGTGGTGTCTGGATGAGCAAACTGATCAAATACGCTTTAGTACCGTGATGCTGAGTAATGGAGTAAAATCACACAACCCTAAGGCCTGATTCCTCCCATCACTTGAAACGCCTTTCTGTGTCTAGCCCCACACTGCTCTGGTCGCTAGACACACGTGGCAGGGTCTGGCAAAGTCAAACTATGATAAATGACAAAATCAATATGCACCCTGTTGGCTCTGGCATTAATTTAGTCAATATTTGTATTCCTTCTGCTATTTATTGATTGAATGTAGTCATGCAAAAACTTAGTCGGAAGAATTTTAGTCAAATCATTGTGTCGCCGGATTTCATTTGGTCATTCTGTTAGTCTAGGCAACTAAAGCCGTCACTATTTGTCCAGTCTGAGTTATTAATTGTGCTGGGACGTGCGCCGCCCCCCTCCGCTCCCCCAACATTACCAGGTCAGCCAATCAGTGATGCCAGTGGTCACAGTCATCACCATGCTTGGGGATTGTTGTCCACTCATTGACATTGTTGACTAAATTCAGATTTAAAAGAAACATTTTGTTGATAACTATTCTCATTAGTAAATTTAGTCAAATAATTGAGGCAGGTTGGCTCGCGTTGAACTCCATACGCACAGAGCACGCAGAGCGGGTGCTGCCCCCTGCGCAGATCACGCTGCTCCTCAGGCTGCTCCCCCACCAGCTGGGTTGGCTGCACGTCGCGTAGTCGACCACGGGCAGGCTGGCCTGCTGCAGCACGCTGGGGAAGGGGCCGCTGGCTGCTCACGCGCACAGACAATGTGGAAACGGAGAGCATTGGTGAAAGCATTGGAGTTGTGTGGCGTTAGCAGGTGCTCCCCAAGCGAACCATTGGTGTCTCCATGTTCAATGTGCAAAAGGCACATAGCATCACAGCCCATCTACTCGCATTCTAATGACTCCATACAGAGTTGTGTTCATTTTGAAGACTACAAAAAGATGAAGGGCTGAGTCAACCCTCTACTGTGATTTGTGACAGTTTCTCAGCCAGAATCATCTCGCTAACGTGGAGGGGCAAATGACACATTCGGCTTAAATCACTTCCCATAACTCTGCCTCCTTTTTGTTTAATGGGCACTGAGTGAACGGTACTCACTGTCGAGAGAACCCCAGCCCGTGACGTAGCACGGGTAGTTGTTGGGCAGGATCTGGTTGGCGCTGGGCAGGCAGGCGAGGCGCACCTTGCTTGTGAGGGTCACGGGCGATGCAATCTTGAACATGGCGATGTCGTACCTGTGGGGGATCGAGATGGGCAGCCGTGAAGCAACGCTCAATACCAGTGACGGACTGGGACTAAAAATCTGCACAGGCATTTGTAAACAAACCGGACCAAATTATTGCTATGGACAATATTCTTTTGTTTAATGGGCTGGGGGACAAACTGTATACTCGAAGCTAGATTTGCGATGTGACGTATTAGTTTTATTTTTGCCATGCGATCTCATTGGCCCATTTGGGCTGGTACAAAAAACAAATGGACTGGTGAAGAATAATATTTTGGGCTGCCAAATATCTGATTTAATGCCAACTAAGCAATGGATCTTACACATTCGAGGTAAGAACATTTTTAGATTTTTTTCTTTTTACTCTGAGAACATTTGCTATTTCTCCACACAGACCGGCTCAATGGCCCTCAGAATGGACCGGCCCACTGAGCATTTGCCCGGAATTATGCCCTATGGCCAGTCTGGGCCTGCTCCCCATGCAATTGGGGTTCAGCGTTGTGCAGATAACTCTCCTCTAACCGTGGTGATGTGGGGGACCAATATCGTAGATTATATTATCTGCTAATTTACTCCTATTATTTTCGGAATAAAATTGCAGCTAATCATGTATAATTGAAAGAATACGGCCAAGGATAATAGGAGTTTTTGCAGACCCTACAGTTCCTGTATGGATGCCTCTGTATGCATGTCTGTTTTTCTATTTATAGTGTATGTGTTTGTCTGTCTAAATGACACTTTACGTTTGTATTTTTTATCTCTCCATGGCAATTCTATCACGGTGTCACACAAATCAGTGTGTGTGTTTGCGTTCTCACCCATTTGTTGGGATGCTGGGATTCCAGTAGGTATGCCAGACAGCCAGGCTCAATGGAGGGGTGATCTCCCCCGGCTCAGTTGTGGACACACTGTGCTTTCCCAACACCACCCTGTAGCTGTAGCCATTCCTGCACGATGTGGTGGATGTGGGGAGATAACAGAGCAATGGGCGGCCTTAATCAATTTAATCTGTAAACATTTCAGTGAGGAATTACTAAACAGAAATTGTGCGAACTTGATTGGTTGCTTTCGTGGCTGCAGGAATTACTCTTTGTTTTTTTCGGTAAAGTCACATAGAAATTATAAAAATAAAATTATATAATAGCATACGACGTTTTGATTGCAACACAAGCAATCATCATCAGGTACAGAAGAGCTAAATTTAAGAGAGAGAGCAAACACATAACCGCATAGATATACAAACCTTAAGTAGAGGGAATTAACACAGACACAGCAGGGGACACAGAGAGAGACGGAGCAACACTAAATCAAACAGGGTTTAGCAAAATTTGGAAACTATATAAAGCAACACAGACGGTCGGTTAAAACACAATTAACACATGGTCTGGTAGATTACGCTATTTCAAAGATTGCTCAATTGTAAGTTAAGTGTGAAATTTAAGAGAGAATACAGACCGCAAAGAGACATATGGGGAGAAGCGGGCACACAATGAAGAAGTAAAGCCGCATCTCTGTGCCGACGCCTTAAATAGCCAGAGAAGGTGGGACTGGGTTTCAGAGACAATGGGACGAAAAATTAGTAGCTCTTCTGTACCTGATGATGATTGCTTGTGTTGCAATCGAAACATCGTATGCTATTATATAATTTTATTTCATTTTTATTATTTCTACGTGACTTTACCGAAAAAACCAAAGAGTAATTTCTGCAGTCACGAAAGCAACCAATCAAGTTCGAACCACCTTTACGGGAAGGTATGAAGTCTGTGTCTTTGTGTTGTTCTCTGCTGGTGTATCTGCCTTTATGTCTTGACTTGGTGTTTGTATCGCTGTGTTGTCTCTGCCTGTGTTTGTGCCTTGTGTCTCCGAGTGGGCGCTGCGACTGCCTCCACAGCCCCCTGCGTGACAACTCGTGCCCTCTACCCGCACCGTCCTTTGATATGTGCTCTCTTCATGCTTATAATTTTTCGTCCGATTGTCTCTGACACCCAGTCCCACCTTCTCTGGCTATTTAAGGCGTCGGCACAGAGATGCGGCTTTACTTATTCACTGTGTGCCCGCCTCTCCCCATATGTCTCTTTGCTGTCTGTATTCTCTCTTAAATTTCGCACTTAACTTACAATTTAGCAATCTTTGAAATAGTGTAATCTACCAGACCATGCGTTAATTGTGTTTTAACCGACCGTCTGTGTTGCTTTATATAGTTCCCAAATTTTGCTAAACCCTGTTTGATTAAGTGTTGCTCCGTCTCTCTCTGTGTCCCCTGGTGTGTCTGTGTTAATTCCCTCTACTTAAGGTTTGTATATATTTGCGGTTATGTGTTTCCTCTCTCTCTTAAATTTAGCTCTTCTGTACCTGATGATGATTGCTTGTGTTGCAATCGAAACGTCATATGCTATTATATAATTTTATTTTTATTATTTCTACGTGACTTTACCGAAAAAAAACAAAGTAGAAATTGTGCGATTTACAGCATGGTATTTTCACTGCCACATTGCGGCATCGTGTAAAGGTAATTTATAGAGGCCGCCTCCTTGCTCCCAAGATCGACTGCTCCATCCTTGGTGGCCACATTGTGGTACAGGAAAATACTGTACAGTACCTGGGCCACGATGCAGTTGCACCGCCTGCACACACACTAGCGACTCTACTGGTGCCATGACTCACGTGAAGCAGCTCGCAGAGGTGAGCACCCATTGACGATCAATCAGGGTTCCTCCACAGTAGTTGACCCATCTTCCTCCAGAGTACCTCTGCACGAGCGCCTGCAATGCAAACACAGCGAGATTGGTTGTGGTTACTGTTATTTGTCCAAAACTCCAATTACCGTATTATATCGAATAATACAGTCCTAACTTAGCCCTTGTGTCTTTGCACAATGCTGGTTGCGAAGGGGTGTAATTCGGGACTGGTTCAGATATCACTCGCCACATTTGCTGGAAATGGAACCCATGTAGCCCGGTTTGTAGTGCAGTATATAAACCACTGTGCCTCCGCTCTCCCAAAGTACAATCATATTGAGAGACTGTGTGTTGTCCTGGTGTGTTCTGGGACTGTTTCTGCTGTTGTTTTACTGCCTTTCCCAAGCTTGGCAATTGAAGTACAAATGCAATATGAACTTCGATACTATATATAAAAAATAATATTTATATTGAAGGGACCCGACAGTGATGTGATGGTATATTCCTCTCCTGGTATGCGGGAGGTCAGGGGTTCAAACCCAACTCTGACACCTGTACATTTGGAGTGTGCATGTTCTCCCTGTGGTCGTGTGGATTTTATTCCCGGATGCTCAGGGTTATCCCTCCATATTTTAAAACATGCATCTATATTATTTTGCTGATATAAATTTTCGCATGATGGGCCACTTTGGTGAGCTATCGTTTCTAAAAAAGAAATAGCTCAGTGGGCTTTATCTGGTAAGATAAAAATATATTTTCGTTTAATTTGTATATATTTTAAAGTGATTTGTTTACCTTTCCTATACTTTGCACTCCTGTTGTGTTTTTGCGTTGTGTTGTTGTAACGTTCTGACCTGCCCCTACTGGACATCTGTGAAAAGAGCTTTAAAGCTCATCAGATTCCTCCAATATGAAAACATTCTGATTCACATGCACAATACAGTGACTGATTCAATGGCATTGGGAAGAGTGGAAGATCTGAACATTTCATGTTGCACACATGCAGCCTTTTTGTCAATGCACCGCTGGATGAGGGCCTCCACGTGGCATGTACAACAATGGATGCTGCTGCACTGAGATCGACTGACAATGCAGCGTGTGGCTGTGATGGCTGTTATTCAGCCCCTGCCGTTACCTGCCAAGGCCAGGAGTTGGCACGAGCCTCCACGCCATTCACCACGCGGATCTGGGGATACGCTGCGATCCCACAGCTCTGAGCCGACACCTCAGCTTTGAGGAACAACATCACACACACAATAGCACACACGCGCAATACTATACTCACAAAAGTACACACACACATAAATGTACTCAGGGGTGCAGCTCTGGGGTATGCAGCATATGCGTTCCATAGGGGGGCCCAGTCGGTCACAAGGAGTCCCGAATAAACAGACGAACAAGTAAAACATGTTACGAACAATTTTGTCATTTTTGTTTACCTGCGGTCTACCATGGACCAAGCCCGATTAACGTTATCGTATCAATGGAGCATTCAGATGCGCGATCCACCGCCTTTGAGGAATTCCTAGAGACCTATACTGATGGGCAGGGATGAAAGGAAGACTCAACGCATGATAATTTCATTGTGAGTATTGTAACTTTACGTTTATTAATACTGTAACTGTGAGACTGTCTTCCTCTAAAACCCAATACACGGTGCAACTTAAATCATATCGAAACAGTGATAGCCTGCGTATTATTGCATACGGGTTAAAACATCAGTAGCTGTTTCAGTGAGAGTCGGGAGAAAGGAGGGGGGTGTCCACCAGTCGATTTTTGCATACCCCCGTTGAAAGAGGTCGTTGCGTCGGAATACAATAAAAGCGGACTGAAATAAAAACGACGCTTAGCCATTCAAAGAAAGGGGAAATTATGGGGGGCGTGGCACTTGCATCGTACTCGAGAGCTTTGGTAATACTGGTAGGCACCTCCTGGTTCCACCACCAGCATCCAAAAATGGGAGGGGTGGGGCTGGGTGGAGAGGGGAGGGTGGGGAGGGGCTGGGTGGGGAAGGAGGGGCTGGGTGGTGAAGGCGGCCACGGCACACACGAGGGGGTGGGTCGCCACCAACCACGTCCGGCCATCTTCACGACAGTTTTCCCTCCACGTGGAGAATCAACAACATGCGTTTGAAGTATGCGGCTGCTCTCAATCTCAACATTATGAGCCGCCAATTCGTGGGTATTGTACTCTTTTTTTTAGGAACAGCTTTTTTTTTCTCTCCACCATCCCAGGTCCCCACTCGGTCCCCACCCTTCACGCCGGCTTGTGCCCGCCCTCACAGTCGGGCATATTTGCGGAATACACCACGCCGCCGTTGACCCTGGCCATTGACCGAGCAACCCAACGTTCCTACCAGCTCCCTCCGCAGGAATGTATTTTTCAGGGACATGCCTGTGAGAGTGACGATTATAGTTAAAAATGCTGTCGACAACGCGATTGTGTATGAAGTCAATAATGTGCTGTTAACATCATGGCTGTCAACCTATCTTGTACAGGCAAATTGAGTTCTCAGGTCCATACGGCATACAGCCGTTTCAATACGGGCAAAAAAAGTGTTTTTGTCTATTTTTTCGTGTTTCTTTTTTGTGATGGGACTGTAGGATGAACGTTGAGATTTTTAAGGGCATGGGGTGACCAATAAGGTCTGAATTGGTCTGTAACAAGATAGGCACTGATAAAGAGTTGACTGGTGTATAATATTGTAAACCGTTACCGTGAATTATAGCTGTTTACAGTTGCAGTGTAAGATACTATTCTTTTGAAGATATCGGAGCAGACCCACAGACGCGCTTTGGATTGATTATTTTGTAGAATATGTTCCGAATGAATGTCAGTGTATCTGGTTGTTTATTAACATCAATAAAGCCCTGGAACGACTATAAACGATTATTCCACATAATGGTTTAACATTTATATAGCTATCGTTTAAAAGCATCATGATGAAGAAATTTGAGCAAACAGCGTATATTTCATATTTTTAATCTGTTAAAAGTGATTTGTATCAAATTGCATAATTAATGGTTAAAGAATAAGATAGCATATATCGCTCTGGTATGTGTGCTATATAATAAGTCTTATTACTGCCTATGATTCAGATCGTTTCCCTGATGGATACATTGATAGTTAATGTTACGGTTTAAATAATCCGCTTGGGAAGTCATAATGGCGTGTTATTGTTCTAAGAATTAATAAGCATAATTTGTTAAAACTGGCTAATGTTGCGAATAATATCGATTATCTAGATGTTATATAGTTACAAGAGATGGGCTCCCCACACGACTGATTGACGATGGGTGCACATGTGTGTGGCGTGGACTGAGAGGTCTCGTATCATATGTACGTTGAACTTATTTTATGCCGTACGTAGCAAACCGTGATAATCGGAGGTTAGGGGGAAGGAAATCAAACTAAACACGAAAAGCAGTTCTAAAGAAAATGTACAGGTTCAGATTTGGGGCTCAGATTAAAACAGAACCAACCTGAAAGAAGTCCCCACGACCATCATCATATGTATGATTGACACCCGTCTTCACTGGCAGACCATCATTAAAACAACTAAATGTGCAGCGACCGAACTGGACAAAAGCAGTTTGGAAGTGCCATACAAGCAACTTCTAGAACTAAGTCTAGTTCCTGAAGAAGCTAGAACGGTCGCTCCACTAAATAAAATGCGTGCATTGCAATCACATTAGCAGCTCAATGTGTCAGCAAGAGCAACACTCACCCGCAACCAGCAGAGCAGCACAGACGAGAAAGGCGAGCATGGTTGATCAATGACTTGGAGCTTCTTGAAGGCTTGTAGTTTCTTGATCACTGCCGTGTCTCACTACTGGGACCTCTTGACTTTTATACAGAATCTGTTGCCCATGTCAGACCTCCAGGAGTAAACAACTCTCAGCCAAAACCGCATGCAATATCAATTATTACGTTTCAAATTAAGGCGTGCCATCGTATCTGATATTCAGGTGGGTGTCAGCAGAAGAGAAGTGGTGGAATTTAAAGTATTTTTTTAGGCGTATAAAACTTTTAGAAATGTTGCAGCATGTGCAAAAAGTTATATTTTTTATGCAAAACACACGCTATCAGAGGATCGCAAGCTTAGAATCCTCGGTTGGTAGTTTTATAGGCAGATACCCCCCTACCACAGTATGGGGAATATCCATCACTGGCATAGGCCCGCCAGGAGAGGTGAACACTGCCAAACACTGGTTGAACAGGGAGATACTTTCTTTGGCTTTTAGTGATTTGAAATGTAATGCATTAATTTATTTTCCTTATTTTAAGCCCATTGATTACATTATTGAGCTTACTGTTTGGTTATTTCGGTAAAGTCACGTAGGTAGAAAAGTTTAAAAAAACAATATATCACAACATCTCGATCGCAACACAAGCGATTGTCCTCAGGCGGAAAAAATAATGATCCAGCAGTGGAACTGCTGAACCAGGAAGAACACAGCGAGAGAGCTTCTACAACAAGAGGTTATATATGTTGGCCAAGGGCAAGCAGGCGGGGTCCGAGCTGGGAAGGAGTCCCATCCCCGCACGCAAGCATATAGGTTGTGTAAATGGGGGAGATTAGGGAGAGAGAGATTAGGGAGAGAGATAAGCATGTCAAAGTAAATGAGCTTCTGTCGCCGCATAAGTGAACCACCGCAACGGTGGTCGCGCCAGTGAGACACATAGCCCATCACACAGCCAGAACCATTGATACATCGAGGCTAAGGGAGCAGAGGTGGCCATGTTAGTGAGACCCCAGCCCGTTAATGCAGAGGCACCCAAAAGGGCAATGTAACTTAGATAGTCGGAGATAACAGCCAAACGGCAGGAAGGATGGAAGCACCACACCAAGTTACAATTTTACTTGGTTAATAACTTCCTTCCAATAATTGTTCAGCTTATACCCATCTTTTCGGTTAAAATTGTCTCTGTTTATATATCTGGATGGCTTCATGGACACATCTTTGATGGTAGCCCGAAGGTTTTCAGAGTACCTTGGTCTCAGAAAAAAACAATGCGTTATAACAATGATCAGCCAAGGCAGAGGTATTGGTTCTGTCGTGTTTCAAATCTGCCTTCTTTTGAGAACACGGTTATAACAATGATCAGCCAAGGCAGAGGTATTGGTTCTGTCGTGTTTCAAATCTGCCTTCTTTCGAGAACACGGTCCAAGACCTGTCGTTTCGTTTTCCCAATGTAACTGCTGCCGCAGACACAACTTAATTTGTAGACACCAGGGTTTTGCATGTCAGGAATTGACATCCTTCACAGATGGTATCAAATCACGGATTTTGTGTACTGTATTGAATTGGACCTGGATCTTGTGTTTGTTTAAGATTTTCGAAATATTTTTGGTAACACCTGCTATGTATGGCAAGGTGATGGTTTTTATTGGGTCCTCAGATGGTTGTCGCTCCTATGGTTGGGAATACAGCTTTGCGGATTGTGCTGGTCTTAGTATCCATTCATCTTGAGGGCTTGGTGTACATGCTCCAGTTCACTGGCTATGTGACGCTGGTCGGAGATGCAGCGGACCCTATGGTGTAGTGTTTTGATGAGAGAATTCTTCTGGGCCAGATGGTGGTGGGAATCAGGCTTTAGATTGGAATCCATGTGGGTGGCTTTCCTGTAGACGGAATGTCCCAACGAGCCATCAGGCCTCTTCTCGACCAAAACATCCAGGAATGGTAGCATGCCATCATTTTCTACTTCCATTGTTGATTTGATGGAAGAGTGTATGGAATTGATGTGGTTGAAAAATTGGTGCAGTTCTGGTTGGCGATGTGGCCAGATGACTTAAGGGTCATCTACGTATCTCTTCCACAGGGAAGGACGTAGGGTGGATGTCAAGATGTCATCTGTTTCAAATATCTCCATGAAAACATTCGCTACCACTGGTGATAAGGGAGAACCCATAGGGGTACCTTCATTTTGTTTGTAGAATGTACCATTCCAGGTGAAGTAAGTGTTGGTAAGGCAGTGCCTCACCAAAGTTGGTACATCAGGAGTCAGTCCCTGTTGGACCAAGTCTTCAATGATTGCTATTGTGTCAGGTACAGGTACCTTGATGAACAGAGATTACGTAGAAACTGACAAGCAAATCATCTAGAGACGGTGAAATGTCCTTGATTATAGAAACCAAGTGAGCTGAGGTGAGTACTGCTGAGGTGGTCTTGCCCGTGAATGGAAGCAGGGTCTCAGACAAAAATCTGGCCAGTTTGTAGGTAGGTGAGTTGATGGTGGATACTATAGGACGGAGTGGAGTCGAATTCGTGATGATATTGTTGTTTTTTGTAGCCAGTCATTTGGTATGATCTTTGTTGATTTTGGTATTACTGACATCATTAAAAAGGTCCTGGATTTTGTTGGTGTCCGTGGTTTTATCCATAATGACCATGGCATTGCCCTTGTCGGCTGAGAGGAAGACAATGTCATCTCTCGATTTAAAGCTTTCGTGACTGCAAGGATTCATCTTCTTTGGTTCTTTCGGTCAAGTCACGTAGAGTGAGAATAAAATAATAAATTGATAAAATAAAATAACGCAATAAAATTCTCACGACGTTTCAGCCACAACACAAGCGGCCTTCATCAGGTGAAGGGACGAGACTGTCTGGATGACAGCGCTGGAGCTGGAGCGCTGTCCTCCAGACAGCTGGAGCGCTGTCCTCCAGACAGTCTCGTCCCTTCACCTGATGAAGGCCGCTTGTGTTGTGGCTGAAACGTCGTGAGAATTTTATTGCGTTATTTTATTTTATCAATTTATTATTTTATTCTCATTCTATGTGACTTTACTGAAAGAACCAAAGAAAATGTAATCTCTCTTTTTCAATTGAGCAAGTTCAGAGCGCTCATCCCTGCCGATGTTTCTAATGAGTTTCTTAGCGTTTTTGAGGATGGCGGCGATTTCAGATCTTGCCACGTCTGCTGGGATGTGTCCCTAACCTTTGAGGGCTACGTCATCCTGGGCAATGATATCATCCACTGGGATGTGTTTGGGGGTGACTGAAAAATTCAGCCCTCTAGCGAGTACCGATTTTAGGCAATCAGAAATTGGACTGTTACTCTTATTGATAACAATCTTGTTAACATCTAACTTTTTCACGTGTGGATCTGGCTTCTTTTTTGACAGGATGTTGCATTTAGCAATCAGGTTAACTTTACATTTGGTTGACATTGTCGCAGCAGAAGAAACAGTCATGTGATCTACAAGGTCCCAAGCAGATGTGGACATTTTATCGATTAATGCTAAGTGAGAAGATGGGTATAAGCTGAACAATCATTGGAAGGACGTTATTAACCAAGTAAAGTCTTAACTTGCTTTGGTGCTTCCATCCTTCTTGCCGTTTGGCTGTTATCTCCGACTCTATGAGTTGCATTGCCCTTTTGGTTGCCTCTGCATTAACGGGCTGGGGTCTTACTAACATGGCCACCTCTGCTCCCTTAGCTTCGATGTATCGATGGTTCTCGCTGTAACATGGGCGGTGTGTCTCACTGACGTGACCACCGTTGCGGTGGTTCTCTTGCGTTGATACGCTTGCCTCTCACAGCGCAGTTAGCAGCGCCGCAGCTTGTGTTACACATAGACATGACATTAACTTGCTAATCTCCCTAATCCCTCTGCCTAATCTCTCCCATCAACATAGTGCTAATCTCCCATTAACACTGCTACTCTGCGCATATGCGGCGACGGTACTCTTATGCGGCGACGGAAGCTCATTTACTTTGACATGCTAATTTCTCTCCATAATCTCACTCTCCCTAATCTCTCGTATTAACACAACTGATGTGCTTGCGTGCGGGGATTGGACTCCTTCCCTGCTCGGACCCCGCCTGCTTGCCCTTGGCCAACATATATAACCCCTTGTTGTAGAAGCACTCTGGCTGTGTTCTTCCAAGTTCAGCATTTCTACTGTTGGATTATTTTTTCCGCCTACGGACGATCGCTTGTGTTGCGATCGAAACGTCGTGATTTTTTTCTTTTTCTACCTACGTGACCAAAGAGTATGGATTCCTGATGTCACGAAAGCTTCAAATCAAGATTCGTGATCTTTTTTGTTCATTTTAATAATTTCAACATTTTATGATAAAGTGTTATGTCTATGACAACATAGAAGATTCATTCATCAGCCTAAATGTTGTGTTGGGGATATACCTGGACCTGTCTTACCCTTTTGTTTGCCTTTTAAGCTGGACGCAGTAGCACATGCCTGTGATCCGGCATTCTATAGTCGAATGTTGGTGGAACATGTAGATATATGAGAATCTTCCACCTGTGATCTGATACAAAGTGGCCAGAAGATATCAGTACGGCAAATTGATTCTAGAGTCCATTAGTACAGATCATCAAGTGTTTTCCTGGACCCGGGGCGTTGGGCTCATGTGTGGGGTCTGGGTCCTGGCTGCGTTGCTGCTCGTCGTCATCTCTCCATCTTCTGACCACGTAGAAGATCTCCTGCGTGGTTTCCATCGCCGTCATCATCACGCTGCCAGCCAGTGGCATAGCCGAGTGAGCGCGATGGGACCACGCCAAGTGATCGGCTGTGTGTAGCCAGTAGAGACGTTAATATCTAGTGTTGTACTCAGTGTAAGGAATAATAAGTGTTGGCCTGTGTTGTGCCCAGTGTGTGTAATAAATAAGAAGTACCCTCTACACACTGTGCTACTGTGTGGACGCCACAGTACTTTGTTTCAAAGCCTCTACATGCCTCGAAAGAAATCTCAATACACGTTTTGCATCATATACTATTCTCCTCTGTAATATATAGAGCCATCAATTTCACACTGGAACACTCCTCCTTGGCGCGAGTGCCACCGTCGCCATCCACAACGACGAC